TGTCACTCAAGTGGCCACGTCCTTAATTATGCAGAACTTTAAAGCTTAATATAATTCAAACGAATGAGTTATAAAAAAAGTCACCCCCCTCACAGTTGTCATGAAGGGCAAAATTAGCTATATAGACCAAAATAATTTTTTGAACCAGGCTGTAAACATGTTTTTTTCTGCTGTAAAGTTGGGCATTTTAACATGGGGAGTCTATGGGATTGACTCCCTTTTGCAGCCAGCCTCTAGCGGCCAGTTAACGAATTACAGTTTAAGTCACTTCCATGTTGGCTTCAGGTTGCCGCGTATGAACACAAAAGACGCGTCGAAAAACGTCGGTGATAAGTGCGTGCAATAATCGTCCCGGTGTGTACGAGGCTTATTTGCCCCCAAACAAATGAAGTACACACACACACACAAACAAACAAGATAATTAACGGTCTAAAACGTCAAATCTGCGTTCCACACATACCTTTCAAACCGGACTGGGGCTGAACACCTCGAGTTTTATTTTAACCTCCAGAGACATGGAGACACATATACCAGCGTCTGCATTACTGTCACACCTCTGCGTCATCGCCTTTCATCATCCCAGAGCTCACAGACCTGACTCATGGATCATGAAAAAATGCGTTTGTAGATCTCGCATTGAGGCTAGACACACACCTGCTGACGCCAGTTTGAAAGCCTACCACTGCTCTTTCTTTTAAATGGACATTAGGAGGTGAGCCGGTGTCAAGGCGTTTGTATTGATTGCTCTCTTGTGTCACTGTAGGACCTGGTCATTTCTGACGCAACTGCAATGACGGCCACAACCCCCCATGGTCAGTCTGACCGGCCTAGACAAACAGAGACGGGGTAGGAGGGAGAGCTAAAAACAGTGTGATGTTTACCAACTGATAGCGTACGAGCCCACATTTCTCTGGTTAAGATAACAGCAGAGCTCTGGGAAGCAGACTGGGATCAGAGCCAAGCAGATGGGGACAGGAAATACAGTGCATTTAGAAAATAATAAAATTGAATACTTTTCACATCTTGCTGTGTTGCAGCCTTAAAATGCTAAAATGCTGAGCTGATGAGTTGAATCAGGTGTTTTAGATGAGGAAGACATCCAAAATATGCAGTGATAGAGGGTCACCAGGACAGATCTGAGAGCATGCTTTCTTTTTTCCCACATCAATCTACACTGCATATTCCATAATTACGAAGCAAAACCAGATTTGTGATAAATTTAAATTGATTTAAAAGAAAGAACTGAAATATGAAACTGCATAAGTATTCACACCCCAGTTGACATACCTTTAGCAGTGAGGCAACCTCGTGTTTTTGGGGGGTATGATGGCAATTTTCTTCCATTCTGCTCTGCAGATCCTCTCAAGCTCTGTCAGACATTTTCAGGTCTCTTCAGAGATGTTTAATTGGGTTCAAATCCAGGCTGGCTCACTCAAGGACATTCACAGAGTTGTCCCTAAGCCACTCTTGTCTTGTCATTGGCTATATGATTAGGGCCATTGTCCTTTTAGAAGGCAAACCTTCAGTCCAGTCTGAGTTCCTGAGCTTTCTGAACCAGAACATTCGCTGGCATTGAAAACCACCTCTACAGCATGATGCTTCCACCATTAAATATGACATTTTGGAGTAGAAAAAATGAAACAGTATTTTCTTGTAAAATATATTCCAACAATCTTTGTTTTATTGACAACAAAGTTGTTTTGGATGTTCGGTAAATTCTGTCTCAAAATATACATAATAAAATATATACTTTTCCCTGTTTTTTTTTTTTTTTTTTTTTTTTTTTTTTT